CAATGTTCAGCTACGTAGAGGTTAAAGTTTGTGAGACAATTGGAGACAATTGAGAGTTATGAATATAAATGTCTGGATATTTATTTATTTATATATTTATTAGAAAATTCCTTATAAATACTCATCATTTTCCACAAAAAAATCCACAAAATGAACTTACTTTAGATACAAAGAAATTCAGTTGTTGAATATGTTTTTTAAGTTGTTCGTTGTGGTTTGTGTTTCCTCCTGTAAGTGGCGAACTTTGTGTTTGCTGTTGGTTGGGAAAAGAAATAAATAAAATAAATAAATAAAGTTCATTTGCTCAAAATACGGGCAGAATGTTTTTTATATTTTCACTCATATTATAAACATATTTTGTATTAAATACAGCAATAATGCCATCGACAAATTAATTTGGATTAAGGGATTTACCAAGAACTAAGGATAATATTCTCTCACTATTAGGCTTATATTGTACTGTATATTGTTGCTATAGATTTTCTTTTTCTTCTTTTTTTCTTTTTCTTCTTTTTACCAGGAACGATTTTGTCAATACCTCCTGTGTGGGTATTCATTTTAGAATGTTTTAATAACGAGTAGGAAGTAAGTGATGGGTCAATTACGGCAAAATAGTGATATTGATTTTACTTTTTAAAAAAATTGAAAAATTTCCACATGATGTTAAATGATTTTAACTGGCAATTCATTTTATTATCATAACTCTCATTTGCTGGCACCTGCAAACACCTTTTAACTCGTTGCCATGCCACAATCAACCTCGTTTCTATGCCACAATCAATGTCATTTGAATATTCCATGTTTCCTACACATTAGTGGAAAAATAAGTATTTATGCGTGTGGTTGAGTTTGGTGTTATTGTTACTTTCTGTCAGCGAATGTTGTTTGTTGTCACGTTAATAACACAATATGCACTAATTTTGCTCTGTTTGTCATAAACATGTTTGTTGTTATTAAATCTGTGACCTGGATATGCACATTTATCTGTGTTGGTTCATCAATAATGAGGCCCCATAAATTTATTTCTAGATTATCACTAGTACATCCACCACATCACTACTTTTGTTAGTAATCAATGTTATGGGTTTTTTTTTTGGTATTGACCAGCTTTCTGAAATGGAAATTTAGGATTCTGTTGTATTGAAAATTTAAATAAACAACATGTCCGGACAAAAGAAGTAAATGTACTGCATGTTCGCTGGTGACTGTGGTCAAATTTACTTACCACTTTTAAAAGCCGGGACCTAATAAAATTCCAGATATTTTGTTATAATCTATAGTTAATGTTTTAAATGTATGTTTTTCTCGAATAAATAAAGCTTTTGATTTTGATTCACTAATAATTTAAACATTATTAAACCTAAATGTTTTGTTTGATCTGAATATTCTATTTTAATTTTTAAACCACTTTTAATTCCTTAGTCAATTCTGTGTATTTTCCCCATAGGGAGACAACTAATTTTAGACATGTTAATAATATGGCTACAAGCAATTTCTTAAGATGATTATTTGAATTTGTTTTGATTAGAAGAATTTATGCCATCTTATTGTAAATGGGTCAAAAGGTGTTATTGCATGTCAAGAAACAGTTGATTTGATTGGTTATAAACTTATTTAGCCATGTGAAAACTCAATTAGAACAGATGGTTGATAATCATCTTATTTCATTCTCATAATTAATATTGCTTACATTTCACGATTCTTTGTCCAAAAAATAATATTTGTAATGTCGACTTAGGTTACATACTCGGTGATCTCTGATATTTATTGTTGAATGAATATGCTGGTAGCCTTAACGGTGTATCAGTTTCACTTATGTTCTCAAGAGTACAGCGAACCCTTCTTAATGTAATTTCGTTTTGTTTACTCACTTTATTTAATGGTGCAGCTGGAGATTATGAAATCACACCTTTTGTTTTCTCATTGAAATTACATTAAATATACATCACATTATGCCATACATTTGGTCTTGTGTACATACTACCATACTAATTTGGATGTAAACCTATTCTTGATCCAGAGGTGACGGAACTAGGGGGTGCTGTGTTATGGAGAGTAATGTGTGACCGGAAATGATCTGCAGTCAGTTGGTTGTTACCATGCGCCAGTGATGTTGGAGTATATAGTACAGCAATATGAAACTATTATGTAGGCCTAATGAATGAAGTGAAATGATTATTTCACATTTTAAGTGCTCCCTAAATTCATAAGTGTAACCTAAATTACGGTGATTAATTTAATCATCGAAGATATGGAGACAATTATTTCGAATCCCTCTTTCCAAGAGGGGATGCAAATGCTTTGTGAAAATGAGTACGCCGCGGTACTCATTTTCACAAAGAAATACACACAACTGGTTAGCTAACAATTATGTCTATGTTACATGAACACCTGGGAAGGAAGGTGCAATCACGTTGTTACCTAGCAAACGTCTGTACTGTATGGAATGGGGAGGGGCTGCTGATGTACTGCGTAGCCGGGGACGATGAGGCATTACTGTAGACTAGGCCTAACCATGGCCTAACTAAGACAGTGGAATTAAATGTGATAGAAAGTACACTTTCGGAAGAAATAAATTAAAATAAGAAAAAAAAATAACTAAGAATATTTCATTTGCAGAGTACCTTATTTAAGTATTATACAATGCTAACAATGCGGCTCTTGTAGCCCTGGCTTGGGCAAGGCATCCATGTGCAAAGCAGTGGTGTTTGTTTATCCATGAAAAAAGCACGCCGGGAAAGTTTGCCTTACCAGGAAAAGGTGACGTATCTAGCTTATGACGTATGCATGCTAACTAATGTGAGTGTGACATCACCAAAAAATGTATATTTTCTATTATAACCAAAATATTAATAACTACAAAGTTTCTGGGCGTAAATTCCCTTAATATGAATGAAGGGTTGCTCAATCTCCTTGCCATACAAATTACAGCTCCCACTGACGTCTCAGTCGAGAAATACGGGTAGCTGAAGTTTTTCTCGCAAATCTAACTACAAAACCATATCCAAATTTCACGTTCCACTTTTGACCCTGAGTTGTGCTTCGCGCTGGCCGCTGAGGGCAGCGTTCCGGGAACCCTGCGTCAAGAAATTGGGTCGAGTTTGAGAGGCAGGCATATATCAGGGGACCAGAAAGTGCAATGAACACTTCAAAATTAGTAGCCAGGTCTAGCCCTAGGCTATTAGACCAGAAATGGAGGTCTCACAGACGCTCAAACTTAGATGTGTATAAGAGACAGATCTACAACTGAACTACATTAGACCATGCTGGTATAATGTGCCTTTGGATTTTCATGTTTATATGCTAATATAATAGTTATTTATCGTATTCATACTTTACTGCTGATGTATAACATCGCAACTAACATTAAATACAGCGATTGACTTATAAAGCAATTAGTATAGCTGCATACACCATACACTAGGGAAAAATTAAGATACTTAAGTTAGATTTTTAATGCATTCAAAAATTTCCTTCGGACCTTGCAGGCCCTCAGGAATTTTTTTCAAGCATTAAATCCAACCTTCGTATAATAATTTCCCGCTAGTGTACTATGAGCAGCTCTACTAATTACATATTAATTAATAAACACAAAAAAATATGCAAACAAAAAGTCTAAAGTTTTAGTTGTGTGCCTTTTATATGCATTCTGATACTGTGTGACTATTAATACAGTGTCCCATTCAACTAAACAGAGTGTTATTTGGCAGTGCAAGGCAGATCTAAAATGTTGAAAAATATATTTTTCCCTCTTATGGTATTTTCTCAATAGGTACTATGATAAAATTTATTGCCTGGCATACTAATATAGAAGATAGAACAACTCCATTCCGCATGGTAACTCACGTGTTACTGGTATGCGGAAGCACCACGATTCCATTAATAATATCATTGGAATTTGTTTTAAAGTACATAAAGAATAGTATAAAATAATAATTCTTTATCTATCAGAAAATTTTTTCATTCGGGGGTGTTTTAACTAGAAAAGCCTCCTTGAGGACACATCTGAAATAAATAAAATGATCAATCATTTGGAAAACTAGATGGAACTATTTAGCTCATTGTTGTGGGAGCTGCTTCATAAGTTGACCTGAATCTTTTTTTTTTTTACCTCAAACAACTAAATGTGTAGTAATAGTATTGTGTGTAATAGCCAAGCCCCTTGCATGCCTGGCTTCAATTCTATTCAAAGGTTTAAATATTTTTCACTATTAAGTTGTTGAACTTGTTTGAGCTAGAGGGGTTTCCAAGGTTTTAGGTGTGGTGACACTATTGTTAGTTATCTCAAGAATACAATGGCTGACTTGTTTCATTTGTTCCCTCTTGACCATTCGGACAATAACTAAGACAATGAACTAAAGAAATTATTTTATTTTTAATGTATGATGGATATATTTATATTTTATTTTGAATTTTGATGGATAACTCTTCATATTATGAATTTTAATCATTTTTTAAGTCCAATATTACAATTCCATCACATGTTTTCCTTATTTAAACATATTTATTCTATATCACATGTAATTCATTTTTATGTATGTCTATAGATTTTAATCAAGTTGAAATGAAATATGATTGCTATACAGTATTCTAAAGATATAGGCTTAATGTTTCTGGTGTAATAATAATTTTTAAAAAGTTATGTCTTTATAGGTAAATGGGTAAATTAGGTGGCCAATATTCATAGAGACATAAAAACCATTTTCATTGATTTAAGAAGTACTGTGAAAATAGACTGCCAGCCAACTTTCATGTGTGTTTATGTAAAGAATACAGGATTGTTTATGCTTACTTGACAAAAATAAAACATTGTTCCAATGTGAAGCTAATAGCTTACCTTAAAGACTACAAAGTAAAGAACCTTAATAGCTCAATGGCAAAAGTATATATATTACCCAGAAAAAACTGTATACTGTATGATGAATAAAAAGCTATTTTATACCTCCATGATAAAAGCATCTAGAATCTTTAATTGTACTAACATAACTTTATATTTTTAGGTCTCACTATTAGTGGAAGCTCAAGCAATAAGAATGCAGATGTTGGTGACACTGTGATATTACAATGTGAAGTTCTAAGCCACCCCAAGCCAACGATTAAGTAAGTTGCCTCGATTGACAATCAAGAGCAGCCCTACTGCAGGCTGTCGATTTAACCTATTTTGATCGCGAAGTCCCTGTGGAAGTCCTCATTAGACATAGTTAAGCTTTACATTAACATGTGAATTAAAGAAGACTGAATGAGAACGATGGTAATGTCGGAGTAGTTAGAATGCCGATAGCAAGTCATTCTAAAACTTTTGATGCAGAACTGTCTTCCTTGCAGGCTACCAATATCACCATTGATTGAAATCTAACAGTCTGCCAGAAATACGGATTCTATTGGATAAAATTGCAACAAATCATTTTATGATTTAAATATAAATCTAATTTATGTGTTAAACAACAGACTAAAAGTTTACCTAAGTAGGACCAACACAAAGGTGATTTTTATAACCAAAAGTGTAGCATTATTTGTCAGACTACATGATGCGTACTGAAGTTTACAAAAATGTCTTGTTTATGATTGGTCAGTTGTTAGGTCAACGTACAGCAGGTCATATCTATTTGTTGCCGGAAAAGAGAGACCCGCGTGCGTGCGAGACAGGGTGAGAGATTTGCTTGGGGAGATTCGGGAGGACTATTACTCCGGTTTTGCAGGAATTACAGAGCGATAATGATTGGACATTATCTAGAATCATGCCAGAGCAGTTCTCTTTATGACCTAAGCAAATGTTGCTCAAACTTTTTCGAAAGTGGTCGGGGGGAAAATCCCCATAAATATTATAATTTGAGGGTTTCAAAAGCTTTTTAATCAATTTTACAGTCTATTAATATATGTAGAAAATACTATATAGGCCTATTTGTTTTCTCCCCCAGGACGAATTGTAATTTTTGTCCCCGGCCAAAAAACACTTCTATTGCGTGACACTGACAGAATCGGTTATCACTTTGTTGTAGTTACGATTAGCATACATAGGCCTATTCTGTTTCTAGGTACTGTATACTGAAAATGAAATAATCTTCACTCCAAAAAAAGTTGCTTGTGTCTTAATTGTTAGTGTTTATCTTATTAATTTCTTTTTCAATTATAAACATCAAATACATTAACATACTTGAATGACCCAAAATTCATAGAACTAGATCTAACAATTAAGACTATATAACAGTAGACAACATGTCATGCATAATAATATGCCTAATATATTAATGAAATTTCAGTTCCTAAACAATAGTGAGAGCAGAGGGAGGGGGAACTTGACAAAATTTGGTAGTAACTGAAGTGTGGAGACCCGCTATCTCTATCCACGGATACAGGATTTTGAAGTTAGTGAGGTCTGAGAGCATATCCGCTCCAGCCCCAACCTTGGTTGGTAAACAATGTTTGGCACCTATGAATGTCCTGAAATAAATGCTGGCAAGAGCCACTATCCCTTCCCCTATGGATAGCCACAATATATAAAGTTTGCATAAATATAGAATATATGTTGGATATATGCACCTCTGGATGCCAGGAAATACTGTAGCAGCTGGTAAAGCTATAGAAAATAATGTTAAAAATTTAATTTCTTATCATTGCCATAACTAGATGAATTGAGTTGCTAATTTCTTCAAAAGTGCAATAAACATGAACACATACATAATACATAAAACTAAAATGACTATAACATATTTTAATTGTATTACACAGTGTGGAAATATAAACAATATGCAATAAATATAACACAGGATACAATACTTGATGCCCAGGAAAAAATATGAAATAATGATGATCATAATTATGATAAGAGGAGGATGATGATAACGATGACGGTTATGCTTACGATAACGGTGATAATGACTACGATGACCAATGATGATGATGATGGCGATGACGTCGACGATGATGATGAACAGTAATTATGTTGATGTAGGTGGTGGCATGTTTGGGAATGATGAAGAAACTTATGCAGACTAAACTGAAGTGAGCCCAATCTGGAATCAAAGGGCCCCCGGTCAGGGTGCAGGCACAAACGCCCAGGGATTTGGTAGAGACTAATTTGTTTGCCATGCTATTTTTACTCTTATAATAAGCCTTGGATAAAAAGTTGATTGTTCTGGTAGTAGCGTATATATCAGTGACACTGTTTGGATTTAATCTGTTTATCGTCGCTTTTCATCGCATTGTAATTGTTGATTTTGTTGGGCGCCATACCCTGGACATCCCCCACTATCCTTCGCCCGACACCACAACGAGGTCGTGAGACTAAATTAATTCTTAAATCCAATGAAGTTGAGATTGCCATTCCCTAATATTGTGGTTTAAAAGTATAAATTTTAGATGCCTCAAAATCTCAGCTGGCAATAATGTGGACCGCTTATCTCCCCTCCCCTTTAAGGGGTAAAGTGGGGTATAAATTTATACCTGTAAATTTTGAAAATGTGCTGCAAACTCCATGCAGGGACAGATATAAGATTTAAAGTTAGTGGAAGTGGGCTAGATACTGCTATATCATACCCTCCACCTCAGGTACATCGTACAATGATCCCCTTACTTGGGGAAATACCACATGGATTTCCTTCACTTTAGGGGTTTTTAAGTTTTTATTGCAACTAATCAATTTGGCCAACTCTAACCGCTAAACATTTTGAAAATCAATCTTTGTCTTTTTTACTAAGGTATGTTAAAAGTTGAATTGGCAATACAAAAACACATGCTCATGATGGATTTTTATTTAACTAACATAAAAAAATCAATGCAATTCATACATTCATATAAAAATAATAGAATTGAGAAAAAGTGTCTGGCCACCCGGTGTGGCTGGTGCGGTTCTGACAGCGATGGGTAATGGGTGGTAGGAACAACAAAATTTCTTGCTCCATAACAAGATATTCGATCATAGTAGAATTCCAGTGGTGGTTTTAGAGTGGCAGGACCAGCTAACTTCGGCTTTGAATTGAGAAAATTGAATTGTGTTAAACTGAGTATACAATAAACATAATAAAGTTCCATCTGGTAGGCTAGGCTTAGCATCCAGTTTTGCAATTGAGTATCGTAATCATTGGTTGATTATCTGATTAGTTTATTGGTTTATTTTTTAATAGTAAATTGATTGATTGATTGATTGATTAACTGATCAATTTATATATAATAGGTGAGAGTGATTACTTTGATTAATTGATTCATTGATTCAATTGATTAACTAATTGATTTGACTAATTAATTTATCAGTAGGTATATTGAGTGAGCAAATTGATTGATGAACAAATTTTGCACATTTCATGTATTAACATATCGTCTCATATTCCAACTTCATCATTCAGACATAGCAGGTGAATGACTCTCAAACTCGGCCATATCTCTCCTACTCAAATTGTTTAAATATTTATCATACCATATATAGCATGAATTATAGAAATGTAAGTCATATAGCAGTGCTGTTCACCTATTGTTGTTGATACTCTGCAATAGGATTACATTCTAAAGCTTAGGAAACTGAGTTTTGCTCATTAGAAATATTCTAGCATTAAAGAAAAAAGTTCATGGGGTATTGTAAAACAAGAATTGAGTTTGAGTTTCTTAGTTTACAAGGTCATAACATTTTACAAAAATAAACCAGCTAAATTTCATCTCCAGAAATAAATCGTCATAATTCAGTTTTTTTTTGAAAACTACCACAAAAAACTTACTTTTACTTGCATGTACTTTCCAGTTGGATAAAAAGTGGTACTATAGTTGATCCTGAGCAGAGTGATGCTTTTGCAAGGTTTGCCATCCTACCAAGTGGCAACCTCGAGATCAGAGATGTGCATACCTCAGACTCTGGTGTATACCACTGTCAGGCAGAGAACAGTATGGCAGGAATCTCCAAGACTGGCTCTGACATCACTCTCACTGTCAATGGTAGGTAAATATTTGCTGAATAGTGGCATCAAACTGGATGCATCACTTAGAGAAATACGAGAAAGAGATAAACTACAGTAAAGAAAGCATTTATTATTTTGATGATGCTATTATTAGATATATAGTTAAATACATAAAATATGCAGTGTAACTTCTCCAATACTATAGTTTAAACTTTATAATGTTAAAGATCATAATAATAAAGGTATTTTTCTTATTTAACTCTAAATATTACTCTCACAAATTCAAAAATTTAAATTAAAATGTTAAATTTCTCATTTGAAAGAATGAAATATGTCATCAATGTGTTTCAATACAGATGGATGTCATTCAGTTTGTGATGGTTTGCAGACTTTAATTACTAAAAGCCAATTTAATATAAAAACAGTGCTTATGTGCCAACTTGGCAAGAGTTTAATTTAACTATGGAATGTCATTAGCCTAAATAATTATTTGTACAATTAAATATGTAATTATGCAAATAAAATATTGAGTATTATTTTTCAAATTTATTAGATCAGTAGAGACAATACATCTTTGGAGTTAGCCCTGTGTACAAGGGTGACAGCCTCCTAGCTGAGTCGTGCAGTCTTAAGCAGTTACTTCTCATCTACTAAATCCTTCTAAAATTGAAATTTTTTTTATTCACTCTCCAGATGATGGCATTCCCCCAGTAGAAGACCTCTCTTTTATCGTATCTCCTCCAAGGAATGTCTTTGTGAATCTTGGAGACAGCATTGTACTAGAGGTTGCTGTTGATGGACCTGCCACATTTACATGGTTCAAGAAGAATGAAGAATTGTTACTTCAGTGAGTTAACCTCTCAGAAATATTGAACTTCATACTTGTAGCCAAACTTTCCATTTAATCGTTTAATTCATTGTTGAGATTATCATCCTCATCGGTATTATCATTATCACCAACATTATGTTAATAAAAACCATTCAAGTTCCCTCTGATTATGCATGAGAAGTTGCCACTAGCCACTACTGATCCCTGAATTCTTGATTTCCCCCTTGGTCAAATTTAATGCAGTGTCTGTTTGTTTTATAAATTGTCTTGGTAAATCTTTCCACCCTTCCTCTACAGGTAACCATATTTTGCATTCCCCTATTTCGCATTCCAAAAGATGTGCATTCCAAAAGAAAACTGTAGAGACAAGTTGATGACTTTTTGCAGTGCTCAATAATCTGTTCTGGAGTCAAGTAGCCAGTGTTCATAGTACATAATTTCAATTAGGTTTTCCATAATCAACCTTTGACATTTCCCTTTTTTTCGATTCAGATTTGACAATCACTATTCGCTGGTAGGTCAAGGAAACCTTCGTATTCAAAATGCTGTAGAACTGGATACAGGTTTGTACAGAGTACGTGCAAGTAATAATTTAGGAGATGTGGAAGCAGAGATTCAAGTTACAGTTAGAGGTATGTGTATCATGTGTTACCTTTTATTTCTTTTTAAAATTTTTAATGGTGACTAGCCACTTACGTATTGGACTAAAGTTTATGATGCTGTCTAAACTTATGAGGTTTTTGCGAGTAGAGATTATATTTTTTTCATGATGTGCTTGCCTTCAAGTCCATGGACTTGGATTTAAATTCTGCCAATACCAGCTAAAAAAAATATAAAAAGTTAATCCCTTCTCAAGCTAATGTGTTTAACTATGTCATCCAGCGGTGTAGACTGATTTCGGCTTGCTATGGGAGGGTGGGGGTGGTGGGTGGGGGTGCATCTCCAGTTTATGCCCACTTTAATTCATTTTAACTTGTGGCCTTGCACACAGTAAATTATACACGGAAGAAATACTAGTAATGTTAATAATGAAAATGTGAGAATGATAGAATACTCTGTGTCATGTAATGTCAGACTCGTTGTATAGCATTGTAGACAAAACCGTTAATGCTATAAAACAGAAAAGACATTGACAAGCATACGCTGGTGATGGAATATGCTATGTCATTTGGTGTCAGACTGGTTGTAAATATCGTGTAGTCAATGTAGAAATAATGCTCAATAATTGATGAAAAGGATAGAAAATACCGGAGGTTGTTGGAACAGTGTCGTGAAAAAGAGAAAGAAAGATGTAATTGATGAAACAGACGAAAGTCATTCGATGTCAGATAGGTTTGTAACGAGCCTCATTCTTGTCGATACAAAAAGATAATGGAATGCTTTACAGACATATACATAGCGAAGCAGGTGATGTATGAGTCAGTTTGTCGCAAAATTCCAAATCAATAGTAATCTCCTGAAGTTTCTGTAATTTATACTTAAATGACTATAAAACTTGGACATGGTACTTTCACCATGTAGGGTACAATATGTTTCTCGGACAAATTGATATATAATAAAAATTTTATATAAAACAATTTTGTTGAATTGATTAGTTGTATATGAAATGATCAATATTATTAATAGCTGTCAGGGACAAATGCTGTTAGGCATATACATGATGTAGTTATAAATCTGCGGTATTATATCGTTGGCGCCACTACTGAGGTCGTCATTAACTGTCAAATTTATTTCTTTCCATTCTAATTCCTTCCTGTTAGTTCCACCTCGCTTCGTAAAGCGCCCTCAGTCAGCGTATGCTCGAGAAGGGTTGAGCACTCAGTTTGAATGCAGCTGGTACAGTGTTCCACGGCCGACCATAACCTGGCTTATGGACGGTGACCCGATTCCAAAAGAGAACGCTTTTAGGATAGAACGAAATGGAGAAGTTGGAGAGACGTTGCGTATTATCGGTGTCAAGCAGTCTGACAGTAAATACTACCAGTGTATTGTCTCAAATGAAGTCGGTAATATCAACGCTGTTGCGCAACTGATAGTTGTTCCAACAGGTAAGATTGTTGCTTCCCATTGTTATATAGGATGTTGAAACGTAGTAGTGAGTCAAAATGTAATGGGTTGGAGTTAATTGGGATGGGGATAAGTTGGTGGGGGGGTAGGAATAGGAGATTGAGGTATTCAGTGAGCAGTCGAGAGATATAATGAGTGAGTGCTATGAGCAAGATTTGGCTTGAGTTATGGAGAGAGGGATAGGTGAATCGAATGGCCGAGCGGTTAAGATAGGGGTGCTGCAACCTACAGCCATAATATGGGCGCTGGTGGTTAGAACGCTACGCTTCCATATGGTTCTGGTGGTAGAATAAGTCTTCTCGGATGAGGACTATAAACCGTAGGCCCAGTGTACACAATCACTTGTTTGCATTATGAAGAACCCAATACATCATTGAAGACTAGTAGGTGGATACGCCAGTATACTGTTAGAGACAACCCCTGTGGTGGACAACAAGAGTTGCTGGTAATGGGTTACTGGCTAGCACAGACACGAAGGGACCATTAGGGGTGAAGAAAGTCATTGATCGAGTTACTAGTCCACATATCAAATGGCTGGAGCATCTTCTTTGATGGATACCGGTGCTATACAAATCTAAACTATTATTATTATTATTATTATTATTATTATTATTATTATTATTATAATAGGCCTAAATTAAGCTACTAATATCAATATCTAAATGTAATTCTTGTTGCAAGTTGGATTCAGATTCAGATTTTTTTTTTGTCCAAAAAGAAATTTCAGGTGCAAAAATGAATTTCAGATGTACGCTTGATGGGATTTATTGTAGATTGTTGAGTAGTATAGTTTGGATGTGATTTGGATTTTGTCAGTGAATGACTTAAGAGGACTTGTCAAATATTACCTGTATGTAAGAGATGTAAAATGATATACTGTATGTATGTTACATATATTGAGAAGGAAAAAAAGGGAAGAGACAGGCTTAGATTGAAATAGAAGAAGGCATTTGAAGCAGATGATTAGGTATATGATGCAGATAATGAGGTCTCTCATGACGCATCATTTGAATTAAATTCACATTTGGATGTCAAGGTTTCCACTGATGATAGACAACGAAAAACGCAGTAATCTAGGCTTACCTGCAATGCTACGTGTATGAGACCACTCTCTATCCATTTGATTTGAATATATTTAGTTCCATATAATACACTCATATAATACTCATATAAAATATAAAAGTAATATAAAAAAATAGAGATATATTAATTTAAAAATGAAAGATCATTAAAATCAACATTACTAACCGCCTGTTAGTGGCGGTGTTCTTCGCTATTGGTTTTTGAATGAATAAAATAAAATAAAATAAAAAAACATAAAAACAATTTAGAATCAAAGATGTTGAAAACCAATTACAGATGGGTCCTTGAAATAATAAAATACATATAATAAAGACATTAGCTATTCAAAAAAACATTCAAAATATGTATCAAGTTATTTTTTTAATAATAGGGGTGGGGAGGGGGAATCCTGTGTTAAATAGTCACTTTAAGATGATTTTTAAATGCTTACTTATTACATTCCCTTAAATATTAAATACCGTTTGGCAGGCTGTTATATTCTTGAATGCATATTAAATACATTTTGCCGAGTTCCTATAAAACCATACAGCCTCAAACCAATGTATTGCTATCTTATCTACCAGATTACGGTATTGATTAGACCACCCTGTGAGATTCTATATTAATCAAGATCGATCGATCCGTGAATGGTTGTTCAAATTACTATAGAATCATTAAATTATCTAATTAAATAACTAAAACATTAATAGCTCAATTGAATTGTATCAAACAGATATGAGAAATTTCAATACCTTTTTATTCATTATAAAAGGGTTCATATTTTGTTGATGAGTACTGTCATTTGGATATTTAAAATTCTTGTTATAATGATAAATGCTTGTGTACATGTGCATAGAAGGTCACATTTATTATCTGTTCACTCATATAAATCCTAATAATTTGAAGGCACAAAATACATCTACATAATATCTACAGTTCAGTATTAATCAACATTTTTTAAACATAAATTTTCCACTTTTGCGCACTCTTGTTTAGAAAGATAACTGTGCAAGGGAAGGATTGATTAAAATCTTGCAATTGAAAAAGTCTGAAAAAAAAAATTGTTGACTATCCATTGTTGATCATTGTGTAAGCTTTGCGAGTATTGACTGCTGCTATTTAAAGCCTTTATTGATCCATGCATTATGAGTGACCTACAGCCCCTTGCGCTGTAAGCTTACTTTAATACGTTTAATGTATAAGCGCGGAAATGCACAACAACAGACTCAAATGTACGGTGTTTTTTTTTTTTTATGAAACAATAGTAAATAAACGACTATGAACTATATAAAGGATATATCCACCACAATAAGAATCCTACAGCAAATAAGTTTTTGGACTTATTTTATAATAATTTAATTTTACTAGTAAAAGAATTTCCATGTAAATTTAAACCAAATTGTTGATTACAGCTCCACCTTATGCTATAGTTGATCGTTCTGGCAGTCATGCCAATGGCTTAGCAACCGTTAGACCCATTATTCAATCAGTTTACTGTTTTTGGCAGTTGATAGTTTAAAATTGTACCTTTTCCCTTTATAGATTTCTATTAACTTTGCCCTAACATTTATATATGGCATGTTTAATATCAGCACTTCAAAGGATAAATAAATGCATCTTTACAATAATTGTTTTTACCAACAAATCTTTCTGAAAATACATTTCTTAATGGAGGTTACGTACGTCAAGACATATTCTACTGGTTTGATTACAAATGCCATTGCAATATTGTTGGATGTTCGCTCTTTCTTTTGTCACAATTGATTGCTTAAACAAATGTACACATCTCTTTTTAACAATTAATTGTCCGCTACCTTTCGATTTTGCAATGTATGCACAAAAACAAAATGTCACATATCCACACAAATTAGTATAAGATATGGGCCAGTTATATTCATAAGATGTGATATTTGAAATGGGAATCATAAGGATTTTTGAAATACAGATATATAGATATTGCCGCAAACATGATATCCATTGACCAATAGAAATGCTCGGTAAAATCGTCAAGACCAAATCTTTAATCCCCGTCGCACGTTCAACAGAGCTGCTTCGAGATCCAACTTAAATCATCCTAAAACTGCTTATAGCTAAATCTTCTCAGTGTGTCTTGCATCAAGTTCATTTGCAGTTCATTCCTAAACATCCACATCATTAGAATTGCATCAAAGATATGTGATAGTGATAATTACTTTCAGAGGAGTTGGGAGGGAGGTAGGGAACTGTAAACTGTTTTACCTTCCAGCGTTCCACTTTTGGAGCAGATACTATTATTGCTGTAGTATACATTAACCGTTATGTTATTTTTTTACAATTATTTAAGGATGTACTGAGTATAAAGTAAAATAATATTTAGATTTTTTTTGCAACCTTGCGAAAACAAATACTTCATTGTCATTGTCATTATCGTCATTGTATGATATGTTTCATTCTGTCCAGTATTATGACTGCTAATAGATTTACATCTTAGAATTACCGGTATTTGTATTGAAACTTGCTTTAATGAATGGTTCAAGCTTGTGGGTTACAAACATTTAAAATAAAACAAGAAGAATAAGTTGCACAACATAAAAAAAAAATTTTAAAAAAAATACAACCAATACTAAATACATGGATATTTATTGTTATGTTATTTTTTTTACAATTATTTAGGGATGTACTGAGTATAAAGTACAAAAATAGGGAACTTGAGAAAATGAATATGTCATTAATATCACTATTGTCATTAATGCCTTAAACATTCTTGATAATATGCTGTATGAACTCAATATGATCCTTGATTCATGCAAAAAGCGTTTCATTCCATTCATTTTCATTCATTTATTTATTTTCCAGATCATTACAAAAATCAAAATTTTTAAATAAATAAATAAAATAAAACACATCACAAAACCTAGCACTATTCTGGCGGATTTTCGAAAAGCAAAAAAAATTCACTACGCAAAAACTCTCCAACTAGTACTAGTAAACAAAAACGAAACAAACAGGGTTCAGTTAACATAAAAAGCAAAGAATGCAGAGAAAAATGCACTGTCACAAAAAAAGGGATAAATCATGAATCGCTTACGTTGTGACAGATATGATACGGTATTCGTTATCAGTTTAGTGAGCTTGCAAAAACTCAGGTTGGGCAATACAGTATTCCTGTTGAGGAAAAAAACACCTATTAAAATATTTTTTGGTATGTGGGAATGCATAAGGACTAAAACAAGTACAATGGTAGAGAACAATGAAGGCGAGGCAGATGGTGGTGCTGCTGCTGCTGATGATGATGAAGATGATGGTGATGATGACGATAACGATGACGATGATGTCTTTGGTGATGATGATGATGATGATGATGATGATGATGTCTTTGGTGAGGATGATGTCTTTGGTGAGGATGATGATGATTAAAATTTTTGGGATGATTATAGTGAAGATGAAAATTATGTAGAGAGTTTGTATAATAAAAGTGAAGATGATAATTATTTTTTATTGATAATTGATAATGTTGCTAAGTCATGATGTCTATGTTCTTCAACATATATCAAATTGTTGTAGCTGTCTCCACTTAATTTCATAATTTCATTGTCTAATTTGTGTTATTTCAGTAATTTTATATATCCCACCCTTATTTAAATTATATTTTAACAATTAAATGCAAAATGTCAATGTACAATTTTATGGAAGTGGTGGGATACACCCTTTCAACTTTGTTGATTCATATTTATGTTTATTTGTTACTCATATCGTAGTGTAGTTGTAACACAACTTTGTCCTGTCAGCCCCAGAAGCTTATAACTGACGCTTTGCTGTTTCTGCGTGTTTTTGTGAAGTTGCTTCTTTTTTGGTAGATATATTTCATCCCAGCATGCCCAATAGTCAATGCACGAAATTATTCTATTAAACATATTAATGTTGGCCTGCTGTTTCTAAAGCTTATTTAAGTTGATAATTTATAGGATTATTTACACTAAAAGGAAAATAAGATATAATAATAATTATTATTATTATTATTACTATTAATATAATACTAATAATAATTCTTTATTAGTCCTCATTCAAATTGGAAATTGGAAATTCGGGCTGGGACACATACGGATACAAACGTTGTCCTCATATTTACCTTAATCCACCTAACTCTCAATATGAAGGTTCTTTGAGAAGCCAAGCGATCAGACTCCAATTCAAACCCAACACTGGCTGGGTTGGAAGCTGGGTTTGAAACAGGGTCTTCTTCAGCATAAGAAGCTAGAACAATACCACTTGGCCAACCACTCAGATTTAGATTATTAAAGTATATAACCTGGTGTACACTTTGATACAAAGCAACCTGAATTACCTTTTGATTGAATATAAGTTTTAGTGTGGATTCACCATGGGCACTCGTTGCAGCCTACTGATCATTGTAAAGCTTGAGTCATTCAATGAATCATTAAATAATTATAAACTTGCATGGTTGCATTGTTCGTTAGGCTTAATTACTAATTGATTGCATGTACGACGGACGCATGAACGCTAAACATCTCGCCAGACTTACTCGCAGATGTAACAAACAAACCGGTTACTTGACTTGGATCAAGCCGTGCTCATTCAAGATTGTTCAAAGATTTTAATTTAATTTTCATCTTGTTAATATAAAAGCTTGGCAAATGTTGAAGTAGTTTACTCTGAGCCTTTCAACACTCGTCCTTGTGCATTCTCGATGACATAACTCACTCAGAAATAAGAAGTCTGTCGCATTCCGCTAAATCAATTATCCTCATTAAGGAAAACATAATTATCTTAATAATTTATCAATAATAATTTACTGTTTCCAACCTAAATCTAATGAAGCTTTTGATGTAAAAGAATACTCATTCCAAATGTCAGAGAGCTTGTCAGTGTATGATATGTTTCATTCTGTCCAGTATTGATGATTGCTAATAGATTTACATCTTAGAATTACCGGTAGCTGTGTTTAAACTTGCTTAATGAATGGTTCAAGCATGTGGGTTATAGACATTTAAAATAAAACAAGAAGAATAACTTAATGCCAAATGATGTTTCTTTTTTCTTGCACAACATAAAAAAAAAGAAAACATAGAATGTATACAAAACCTTTAAAAATACTGTAATAATCAGCGCTTAAAGACCAATACTAAACACATGGAGATTTATTGTTGGCTTTTTTAAATGTGTTGCATGTGATTATGTTTTGTTTACATTTTTTCTAAAACCCTGTCCAGACTATCACATTTTACTTGCCAAGAACATGTGACATGCCTAAATATGGTCATGATGGTATCACACCATGACCATATATAGGTATATCATGATATGGGCATACAACCACTTCTTGTCAAAGAAAACTTGATAAACTGGACAAAGCTTAATACGCTATTCACACATGTTAATGTTGCAGTCACCTATAGGTA